AAGTCCACCACAGAGACAAAGTCCACCACAGAGACAAAGTCCACCACTCTGCCCTCATCAATCCCTTCTGTCACTTCTTCAAAAAAACTCAATCAAGCTAGTGAGACATGATTTCCCATGCACAAAGCTATGTTGAATTTCCCTAATCAGTCCTTGTCTTTCCAAATACATGTAAATCCTGTGCCTCCAAATCCCCTCTAACAACTTACCCACCACTGACGTCAGGCTTCTCATTTAGCAGCGTTAGCCAACATCCAGTCTTTCAGCACCTCACCCATAGCAATCGATGATGCAAACATCTCAGCGTGGGACCCAGCAATCACTTCGCTAGCTTCCCACAAAGTTCTAGGAAACACCTGATCAGGTCCTGGGAATTTATCCACCTTTTATGCATTTCAAGATGTCCAGCACCATTCTTCTATAATTTGGACACTTTTCATGATATCACTATTTATTTCCCCAAGTTCTCCAGCTTCCATATCCTTCTCCACAGTAAACACTGATGCAAAACACACGTTTAGTATCTCCCCCCACCCCCACACATCAGTGGCCTTCCTGATATTTAAGGGGCCCTATTCTCTCTCTAGTTACTCTTTTGTCCTTAATGTATTCTCCTTAACCCCATTTGCCAATGCTACATCCTCGTTTTGTCCTCCTGATTTCCCGCTTAAGTATACTCCTAATACGCTTATATTCCTCTACAGATTTACTCAATCCCTGCTGTCTATACCTAACATATGTTTCCTTTATTTTCTTGACCAGAACCTCAATTCTCTAGCCTCCAGCATTCCTTACATCTACCCACCTTGCTCTTCACTAACAGAGGCACTCTGTCCCTGGACTCTTGTTATCTTATTTTTAAGGTTCCCTTTACCTGCAAATATATTCCCCCAACTTTTGGGAGCTCTTGCCGAATACCATCTAAATTTGCCTTCCTCCAATTTGGAATTCTGACTTTTTGATCAGGTCTATCCTTTTCCATAATTCTATTAGTTTCAAAATAGTTATGATCATTTGCCCCAAAGTGCTCCCCCACTGACACTTAATTGCTCTGCCTTATTTTCCAAGAGTAGGTCAAGTTTTGCTCCTTCTGTAGTAGGTACATCCCCCACATACAGGACAAGACAATTTTTTTGTACACAATTAAATTCTTCTCCATCCGATCCCTTAACACTAGGGCAGTCCCAGTCTACGTTTGGAAAATTTTAAAATACCCTACCATTACCACCCTATTATTCTTACAGATAACTTTACAAATTTGCTTCTCAATTTCCCGCTGACCAGTGCGTGTGCGTGTGCGTGTGCGCAGTCTATAGTCCAATCCCAATAAGGAGATCATCCCTTTCTTATTTCTCAGTTCTACCCAAATAACTTCACTGGCCCTCTAATCTTTTCATTGATTAAGTCACTCAAAAAGGTTTGTTTGATGTGAATATTCCATAAGTGACAACAGTAGTTTCCAATACACAGAATCATAGAACTATAATAGCACAGAAGAAAGCCATTCAGCTCAGTGTCTCCACAGCTTCTGTTAATGTCATTCTCCTGCCTTCTCCAAGTAAACATATATGTTGTTTCTTTTCAGTCAGAAGGCAACAGCTATAATTATTGTTAATGAATGGATCAGTGATTGAAAATATCACAGATGTTACAGAAATATTCTCACCATTAATCCTAGAAAGCAAAAAAAAGGAAGTTGATGAAGGAAAACCATTCAGAAAGACCCTCAAATCACTCATGGTATGCAGCCATTTCTTAAATGATTCCAAAGTTGTCACTGCTAAACCTCCCTGAAACAATACAGCAAATCCTGATCAACGAACGGAAATAATAGTCTCATACATGCTATAACTAAATACCTGATACATTTTACACCAATTTCCTCTGGATCTTTCAAACAATTATGACATGCTGATAAAGAGATCACTTAGGAGAGGCCAAAGAAGTGCCAAAAGACTTACGTATGTCAAACTCAAACATACAAAGAAATGCAGACATGGGACAAGGGGTTGGTGATCGGTAGGATTAAATATTTTGGAACAAAAACATAAAAGTTTTTTTTGCTGGAAAAGCTCAGCTGGTCTGGCAGCATCTGTGAAGTAAACATCAAGTGTTAACGTTTCGGGTCCGGTGACCCTTCCTCAGAACACCGGACCTGAAACGTTAACTCCGATTTTTTCTTCACAGACGCTGCCAGACCTGCTGAGCTTTTCCAGCAACTTCTGCTTTTGTTCCTGATTTACAGCATCCGCAGTTCTTTCGGTTTTTTATTAAATATTTTGGAAGTTGAAAGGGTAGGAAAAAGGGAGGGGCGGCAACAAGACAGTTACGTTACCCTTCCTCAGATTGCAGCCCTGACAGTTTGCACTGTAGACAAAGAATAAACAAAAAAAATGCTCCTTTTAAAAGCAAATGGTAAACAGGACACTGCAATTAACAGAAGAGGGAGTAAATTGTTCTAATAAAACATTACAAAATGGAGGCACAACTGTTAAGCAAGAATGCAGAATGCAACAACCATTTCGCCCTTGAATGCGTCGAAATATATGTACTATCTATGGTTATAAAGAAAAGAATAATAATAAACAGAACTTTCTGGAAGCATCTTACCTGTCTTGTTCTGAGGTTAAACTACCTCCATTCCCCCCTCCATAACCCTCAAACATAAAAGGAGGTTTGTTTTGCTCTAATTAAAAACTAAAACTACAAGTTATTTCGCTCGTTCTGAGGTTCAGAACCGTTCAGGCCTTTCCATTTACCTCCATTACCTCAGAAATTAGTAGCAGGCGATCAGCGCGGACAACTAAAAGCGAAAGATAGGCGCAAATGTGGGGGGGGGTGAGAGGAAGGGCCACAACTGCGCAAGCGCATTAGCGTGTAGTCTTGCGGCTGACGCAGACGCCTGAGGGAGGCGTCTGGTTGTTGGGTGGCTGCATGCGCACTGGGAGACAGGTCTTTCGGGCTGGGGGAGGTGTTAAGGTGGCAGGTTAGCGCGGGCGCACTGGCAAGGGGGTGGGGCCGGTCGAGGCAGTCGCAGTTGTTGGGGGGAGCGCTTCGTGGGAGGTGGGCGCAAGCGCACTCCAGCTGGTGGGTTGGCGGTTGGTACGGAAGCCTTTGGCGGAGCGGGACGGATTGTGAGAAAACGAAACGAAAGGGGGAGGGAGGGAGTGAGTGAGCTGGCAACGAGGAGGCAGTGGAGGTGGCGTCGTCGTTAAGTCCCGCTCGTTACCGGAGAGAAAAAAGGATGAGTTTGGACAAAGCTGAGCTCTGCGACAGCCTCTTACTATGGGTGAGATTCTCAGCTGCACCCCTTGCCCTGGCCGCCCCCTCCTCCCTTCCCCACAATCTGCCCTCTACACACTGCAACAACTCCCAGAGCTAACGCTTCAAGTGGGAGCCCAGAAAATAAAGAAATAAGGAGGAAAGTTCATATTTTTTTCAGGTGCTATCCCCTCTCCTGCGGAGCCCGAAGACATCGCAGGTGGAACGGGTTTAAAGGGACAAGAGCTGGATTATGAGACCCAGAGAGATTTGGGTGAAAACCAAGAGCAAGTTGCATATGACCTTAAAAAGTGGGGCAAAAAAAGGAGAGACTGAGTGAAAGTAATGGAAGGGCCCAGATCGATGAGGAAAGCCAAAAATTGCATTTGCATAGCACCTGTCACAACCTCTGGATGTCCCAAAACACTTTATGGCCAATGAAGCACTTCATTGAAGAGCAGTCACTGTTAGCAGAAACAGGACAGCCAGTTTATGCACAGCAAGCTCCCGGAAACAACAATGTGATCATGATACAGATAATATCGATTCTTTTTATAAAGTGATGTTGATTGAAGGATTACTGTTGGCCAGGATGTCGAGATTAATTCTTCAAGTTAGCAGGCTTGCAATGTTTAGTGACCTCCTGATGGGATCTGGGTTTACCGTATGATCTGAAAGAAGGCACCTCAGACAATGCAAGACATCCTTGTTGCTCCACTGGGAGTGTCAACCTTGGTTTTGTGTGAATAGTTAAAGCAGCAAGGCTAGTATGGCAAGAAAAGTATAGATAGAAGGATTATAGGGGACATAAGGAAAAGCTTTTTCACGCAGAGTAGGGCGGGTGTCTGAAATTTGTTGCCCAGTTTGGTGGTTGAGGCAATACCCTCATTTTATTGACAACTAATCTGGATCTGTACCTGAAGAGCTATAACTTGCAAGGCTTACACAGCAAGGGCTGGAAAGTGGGCTGAGAATAGGCAGCTAGTTTATTCAGCTGGCGCTGACATGATGAGTTGTACTGTAATGATCCTATTATTATATATCCACGTGAGCTCCATTTTACTTCTGGGGATAGAATGTTTTCCAATCTGTTATAAGTCTGCCGACTCTCAACTACTTGGATTATTCTTCTCCCGGTGATGTTCCTTGCAGTTTTCCCCTGCTCTTCATAGTGCCTTCTTGCATCTGGGTTTAGGAAATAGCCTCTTTTTCCATCAGTTGAGAATTCTCAATCCATCAAAGCTCAACCTTCACCCTCTTTTCCTGAAGACAGGAGCCACCAGTCCTCTGTGAAAATCTTCTGCATTGAATTAGTCAGTTTCTGTCAATTGTCCTGCTTCCAACATGATCCTGCCACCATATACATCTTGCTTCCAACATGATCCTGCCACCATATACATCTTACCCCCAACTCTGCTATAAAGTTTTTTTTACCTTTTCTGTCCCTGTGGTCTTCCCCTCAGTCCACTCCTAACTTTATTTGTCTCTGACCTCAGCCTTTCTGTAAGCTTTCCTATGTTTCAGTTCAGAAAAACTACTTATACCTGGAAAATTGTAACATTGCCCTTTCATGTTTTTCTCTGATAATCAATATCTGGAATATATTAAATTTTGTTTAGTGGTTCTAAATATACTTTTTTAAAAATGAGTTTCTTTTTTATAAGTTTCTTTAATAAATATGAAATACTTTATTGTAAAGGAGGAGTGATTTAAAAAGTTCAGTTAGTGTGCAAGATTGAGACAATAATACAGGTTTTGACATGCCAGAGCTACCTCTTCCTGGTTGTGATAATGTCTGATTTTATAACTAAGTAGTTTGCTTGATACATAAGGCATTTGATTTTGTTTAAAGCGGGCAGTTTGACTATTTAATGATTGAAACGTGAGATTTTGCAAGTGTTGGAGCAGTGTAGATTGTAAATTCTGTAATTGAAATTCAATTTGGTAATACATTTAAGTTTGAAGTAAATCCTGGTGTTGAACATTCTAGTTAAGGGAACCTCCACTGTGCACTTGGAGGCAAAAGTTACTCGGGTATTGCGGTTATTCTCGAGCATAACCTGGGCTGACAAGTCAGGCTGTTACCGTTACTGTGTTGCATCATCATAAATGCAAGCCTTTGGATGAAATACTAAACCAAGGCTTTGAATCGGCTGTTCTGATTTAATTGAATATTAAAAATGCCTTTGAATTAAAGGAGGAACCAGAGCGAGTTTAACTTCTATTTCTTCATCAACCAGAACCATACAGAAAATAACTGGTTGTTTTGTCTTATCACGTTGGTGGAAGGCTGCACTGCAGAATGTTGCTATGTGGAAAAGATAGATAAAGAAGTAAAAACTTATGTAAGCTTGCTACCACATTGAATAGTTGAGGCAAATGGCATGCATATATTTAAGAAGTAGTTGAATAATTACATAAAGGTGAAAGGAATTGAAGGTGTTTTATTGTGAGAAAATATGGTGGAGGAACCTTGTGCAGTGCAAAAGCACTGACCTAGATCAATTTGGCTGAATGCCTTGTTTTGTGAGCTCTAAGTATCAGCTTCACTCTGTTAGTTGTTCTTTTACCTCTGAATTAGGTTTTGGATTCAAACTGCACATCAGCCTAGTCTGTGAGCTCAAGTTCTCACCTTTCAGTTTGACATTGAGAGAGTACCACCTTGTCAGAAATACTGGTCTGACAAGGCCCCGTTTGTCTGTGCCTAAAGAGCTTCAAAATCTGATCACACTTTGAGAAGTATGGTGTTCTTCCTTCAATCAGTGTTCAATCAAGCATGATGCTGCTTGGCCTGCTGTGTTCATCCAGCCCTGCACCTTGTTGTCTCGGATTCTCCAGCATCTGCAGTTCCTACTATCTCTGTCATCTGTTGTTTATTTGTTTAACTTTGGTCTGAGTATACTGATAAGTTGCAGGAATGAGCGGTGATGTTATTGAAACATAGAAGATTCTGGAGTGGCTTGTCACATTAGATTGGGATTTTCCAAAGTAGGTGGCAGGATCCCAAGCTGAATCACAAACTAAAACTTTGGATTCATGAGGGCTGAGGCAGTGTGACTGTTTTGGAGCTTGAAGCAAGTTACAACAGCTGTGCTCCCATTCTATTAGGCCTTAGCTCTCTCAGTTCTCACTGAAGGGTTGTGATAATTTTCAAATGCAAAATGTGGTCGTGGTGGGAGTAAGTCTGGGAGGCACTGGGGTGGATGCTGAGAAAATGTTTCCCTTCATGGAGGAATCAAGAATTAATGGGAAAAGTTTGAAAATAAGGGTTGTCCCATTTAAAACAAAGATGATAAAGAATTTCTTCTGAGAATGTCATTTCTATTTGGAATTCTCTTCCTCAGTGAGCTGTGAAGGCTGGGTCATCTAATATTTTCAGGGCTAAGTTAGACAGATTTATTTTGAAACAGGGAGGCAAAGTTGAATGGGACCAAATAGGAAAGAGGAGTTAGGCCACAATCAAATCAGCAATGAACATATTGAGTGTTGGAGTGGGCTCAGTTGACAGAATGGCCTGCTACTGTTCCTATGTCTTATGCTGTTTACTGCACGTAAAGAGATAGTGGAACAACTCTATCAGCAGCTTTCAGTTTAAGTCTCCACGTCCACTTTATGTGGAGTGTGGAGGAGAAACAGTAGTTGTTACAGATGTGGCTACTATTGTTTTTAATTTGAATTGAAAAAAAACTGTCTGCCCAATATAGAACAATTGTTGACACGCTGTCCAAACCAGTAAACAAATGCAAAAGAACCTTGGCAGAGCATTTGTTAAAATTGTGGCATCACTGTTGCAATTTAATGTCCTCCTCTCTTGACTACCTCCTCTCTCTCCACTGCTAGAGTATAGTTTGAAACTCGGGGCTCTCAAAATCTGTCGTATTTAGTGAATGTCTAGTTCAAAAATATAGACTTATTATACTTCCTACTGATCTTTTTCTCTTTGGTATAAAGTCATATCTCGGTAATGTTTCAGCTCCAGACATTTCGTGTGCCATTGCCCTGCACCACCAAAGAGCAGCTGACCAGTGGAGTTGCAATTGCTCAAGTCCTTAATCATATGTAAGTTGGAAAAGAACATTTGGATGTATTTTAAAGTTAACATTTAGAATTGCAACTTGCTGATGTGTAATCTTCTTGCATTTGTTTTAACATGTGATATTATGTAGTTTCTTGTAAATGAGTTACAGGGCTGTAACCTAGGTTTGGACAATGCTAATAATGGCTTTATAAATGCCACCTGAGCAACGGGGGTACTTGCATCGAACTATTGAATCAAGTACATCCTTACTAATATCAATAAGGTTCATGTGGTGCCTGTCACATGGCAGGCATTGAACTACATGGTGAGTGGCCCTTACTAACCAGATCCAAGACAAACATGGGCCCTTGTGCAGCCAACATCCGCTGCTAAGGCCTCAATATAAGCCCCTAAAACATTTATAGACAGATGTAAACACTGCTGCCCATTATTAAGGAGTGTTCCCTCTATAGATTAATCACATATAACGCAACAAGTGAGAAGGCTGTCACTTGACTTTGGGGATTTGCATTTGCTCAAGAAGTAAAAGTACATAACAAAACCAAAAGAACTGCAGATGCTGTAAATCAGAAACAAAAATAGAAATTGCTGGAAAAGCTCGGCGTCTGTGGAGAGAAATCATAGTTAACTCAGTTCTGAGGAAGGGTCACTTGATCTGAAGCATTAACCCTGATTTTTGTCCACAGATGCTGCCAGACCTGCTGAATTTTTCCAGCAATTTCTGTTTTTGTTTCAAATAAGAATACATATTGTTCAGATAGTACAGGGTTAGAGGATAATTAATTGAATTAAGATGCACAAATGAAATTGTATCATTATACTTCATTATATTTCTATTATAAATTCCTATTTCTAGGTTTTTAAAATTAAGTATGCTGTGTAAACTTATTATGTTGTAGTACTTCCACTGTCAGGAGAGTGTGATTGTGGTTGTGTGTAATCAGGCACCATCAGATGTGCAAAAGAGAATTTAGAGAGGAAACTGTTGACAGGAACTGTGCAGACAAGATTGTTAACATATTAATTTGTCTCAGGTATGGAGGTAATACAATAGAAATGAGATCTTCTTCACTTTTGAGGCACAGTAGCACACCGTGAAATTGTTTCTGTCCTGTCTGGAGGCCTGACTGCTGCCATTGGGAAAGGGAAATTGTCACTGCTGCCTACAATTTGTGGTGGTCATTCTGCTCTGGCAGTAGAGGAACTAGTTTGGAAGAAGTGGCATGACGATGAGGCATTGTTAAACTCTCAGCACAGCCATGCCAGACTGTTTCCCCCTCCCTCTGACATTATCAAATAACCTTGGCCACAATAGCACTTGTGAGAATGAGCAGTGGCATCTCCAGCATAAAGAATTATTTCCCAATTTCACTTGATTCTACTCCAAAATATAAAGTATGAATTTGGAACAAATGAAAATGTATTTAACAAAATCACTTTCAATCTGTGCTGCCATAGATGACAATTTGAAAAGCAGTGCTATGCCAGTGCAAAGCAACAATTTTAAATCTGCTTTACTTTATGGAGCTGGTGACCCTGTACTCTTTATCTGTGACAGGTAGGAGGAGATTATTTTTCCTTTGCATTGCAAAAACCATTGAAAAGCTTTTTTTACTTCTTCTTTCATTGGACTTGAGCAACCCTGATATTTTATTGCCAGTCTTTAATTGCTTTTGAGATGGCAGGGGTGAACTGCACTCTTGAATAAAGCTGAGTGGCTTGTTAGGCCATTTCATATCATAGTTAACAGTCTTCAATCACATTGTTGTGGGTCTGGAGTCACCCATAGGCCAGACTGGGTAAGGATGGCAGATTTCCTTCTGGAAGGGACATTAGCAAACCAGGTGAGTTTTTGTGACAATTGTTTGCCATTGTCACTATTGACAGTTTAAAAATTTTATTTGGTGTTTTATTCCAGATTTATTTAATTAATGGAATTTAAATTCTTCAGCTGCCATGGTGGGGTTTGAACTATGGCTGTGTGGGTAGTTCATTAACAAAATCAAAATGCTACTGATCCCTGCTGTAGAATATACAGAATTAAGCATTGTGCTTAAAACATTAGCATAACGCAGTGTCTGAACCATAACTTGCTGTTGAGCTTGTAGGTTTGTAATTTGTTAATCATGATTTTTTTGAATAATTCACATCAATTTTTATTTTATGTCATGAGACAGTTTCCAATTATTGTATTTTTTTTCCAGTGATCCTTCTTGGTTTAATGAGACCTGGTTAGGGCGTATAAAGGAAGACATCAGTGACTGGAGGCTGAAGGTATTGTCATAGATTGCATTCAACATTTTTAAAAGCTTACTCAACAACATGTGTTTTACAGACACAATAGTGCTAAAATGTATCGAGTCTATCTTCGGAATGTGAACGATATAAAATAACTGAATAAATATTTAATAATGAGAAGGGCATGGAAGCTAGGGGACATGGGGAAATAAATAGTGATGTCTTGAAAAGAGTTCATATTACAAAAGAGGTCTTAAAAGGCATAAAGGTATAGAAATCCCTGGGACCTGATCAGGTATTTCCCAGAACTTTGTGGGAAGCTAGGGAAGAGATTGCTGGGCCTCTTGATGAGATACTTGTATCATCGACAACCACAGGTGAGGTAACGGAAGACTGGACGTTAGCTAATGTTGTGCCATTATTTATGAAAGGCTGTAAGGAAAAGGCAGAGAACTATAGACCGGTAAGCCTTACATCAGTGGTGGGTAAGTTGGAGTGGATTCGGAGGGACAAGATTTGAAAAGGCAAGGACTGATTGCGGATAGTCAACATGGCTTAGTATATGGGAAATTGTGTCTCGCTAACTTGGTTTTTTTGAAGAGATGTCAAAGAGGATTGATGAAGGCAGAGTGATAGACATTGTCTATATGGACTTCAGTAAAGCATTTGACGAGGTTCTGCATACTAGACTGAGTCATAAGGTTTGATCTCATGGGATCCGGGGACTAGCCAACTGGATACAAAATTGGCTTGAAGGTAGGAGACAGAGGGTGGTGGTAGAGGATTGCTTTTTGGATTGGAAGCCTGTGACCAGCAGTGTGCCACAAGCATTGGTGTTGTGTGCACAGCTTTTCATCATTTACATTAACGAATTGGATGTGAATCTAGGAGGTAGAGTAGTAAGTTAGTAAGATGACACCAAAATAGGTGGTGTAGTGCACAGGAAAGAAGATTATCTCACAGTACAATGACACTTTGATCAAATGGGTGAATGGGCTGAGGAGTGGCAGATGGAGTTTAATTTAGATAAATTTGGGGTTTTGGGAAGGCAACCAGGGCAGAACTTATACAGTTAATGGTAGGGCCCTGGGGAGTGTTGCCAAACAAAAAGGCCTATGGATGCAGATGCATAGCTCCTTGAAAGTGGAATTGCAGGTAGAGGGAGTGGTGAAGAAGATGTTTGACATGCATGCCTTCATTAGTCAGAACATCAAGTATTAGAATTGGGAAGTCATTTTGCAGCTGTACAGGACATTGGTGCGGCCACTTTTAGAATACTGCGTACAATTCTGGTTGCCGTTGAGAGGATGCAGAAAAGATTTACAAAGGTACTGCTGGGACTGAAGGATTTGAGTTATAAGGAGAGGCTGAATAGGCTGAGGCTTTTTTCCCTGGAACGTCGAAGGCTGCGAAGTGACCTTAGAGGTTTATAAAATTATAAAGGGCATGGATGGGGTGAATAGCCAAGGTCGTCTTCCCAGGGGAGGGGAGTTCAAAATTAGAGGATATAGATTTAAGATGAGAGGGAAAAGATTGAAAAGGACCTGAGGGATAACTTTTTTTATGCAGAGCCTGGTGTGTGTGTATGGAATGAGCTGCCAGATGAAGTGGTGGAGGCAGGTACAATTACAACATTTAAAAGGTACCTAGATGGGCACATGAATAGAAAGGGTTTAGAGGGATATGGGCCAATTGCTGGCAAATGGGACTAGATCAGATTAGGATGTCTGGTCTGCGTGGAGAAGTTGGACCAAAGGGTATATTTCTGTGCTGTATGACTCTCTTCTACACAATTTAGAAACTATTTTCGGTTACATCAACTTTGGACAAGAATATTGGTAGACCCCATTAATGTAGGGAGCATATTCTGTGCTGAACTGAGGACACTGGGTCACAAAAGTCCTTCAGCCAACATAAGCAGCGTGATCTGTGATTCCCACTGAGGATCATTACCTGGAGTCATCTGCTGGAAATTGCTCACATAACAGGGAGTCCAGCATGGCTGTGAATCCCACTCAAAATCAAATGGCCTTACCGTTCAGGAAAACAGCTATTTGGATTGTGCTGTGGAGACCTTTGAACATCAGTAGACCCCAGCTAACTATAAAGCAGTAGCAGAGGGAGCAGAACAAAACTCCTGTTATCCTATCCTGAACTTCTATCCCCCCTTCTTGTTCGTACTGACTTGACAGCCTATTAATTATCCCGATGAGTGTCAAAGGATTTGTTTTTTCTAACTATTGCTTTGAATATGTGCTGATTAATTGATTTTTGTTTGAATCATGTTTTCTGTCTCACTCAGCCAGGAGCTTGAAGCAGTTTTGATCCCATTTGCCTGCACAGTAGTACAGCTGTGCAGCAGGTCAATTCTAAAGGAAATAGAGCTTGCTATTAAGTTACATGACTTGATAAGAATCTGATCCA